CGGACCCAAACTTCGATTGCGCTCAATGAAGGTCCCGAACTCCACGAAATTCTCAAATAAGGACCCAATTGGACGGAAAACTAACTTCCGTTAAATCTTCTATTATTCCGTTAATGTTCCGTCACATTTCACACCCGCCGGCTTAAAAAATTGGTTAAATGCTAATTTTGGTCCCTCAACTTCATTGAGTTTCACTTTTTTGTCCCTCAACTTCATTAAATTTCACTTTTTTGTCCCTCAACTTTATTAAATTGTACTTTTTTGGTTCATAAACTATTTTTTGTATTTTTTTGGTCTTTAAATTATTTTTTACACTTTTTTAATCCCTTAACTTTAATAATTGCACAATTTTGATACTTTCATCAGTTTAAGTCATTAACTCCATCCACTTTGTATTTTTTATATTTTTTTATGACATATGTAGATAAATCTTTAAATTTTTTATAAAAAAAAATAAAAACCTCTCTACCTATTTTCTTCCCCCTCTTTCTTTCTCTTTCTTCTAGCGGGGGAAGAAAATAGGTGAAGAGGTCTTTTTATTTTTATTAAAAATATAAAAATTTATCTACATATTATTTTATTTATCCATGTCATTATTATTTCTAGTTAGATGATTTATGTTATTATTTTTTTTCAGTTAGATTATACATGTCATCAAAAAATATAAAAAATGTCACATGAATGAAGTTAACTGTTTAAACTGACGAAAGTATCAAAATTGTGCAGTTGTTAAAGTTAAAGGATAAAAAAAGTGCAAAAAATAGTTTAAGGATAAAAAAAGTGCAAAAAATAGTTTAAGGAAAAAAAAATGCAAAAAATAGTTTAAGGATCAAAAAAGTGCAAAAAATAGTTTAAAGACCAAAAAAGTATAACTTAATAAAGTTGAAGGATAAGAAAGTACAATTCAATAAAGTTGAGGGATAAAAAAGTAAAATTGAATGAAATTGAGGGACAAAAAAGTGAAACTCAATGAAGTTGAGGGACCAAAATTAGAATTTAACCAATTTTTTGAAGGGGCGGTTGTGAAATGTGACGGAAACATTAACGGAATAATAAGATATTTAACGGAAGTTAGTTTTCCGTCCAATTGGGTCCTTATTTGAGAATTTCATGGAGTTCGGGACCTTCATTGAGCGCAATCGAAGTTTGGGTCCGAAATTGCGAATTTGGTGTAAGTTCGGGTCCTTAT